GAAATGCCCTGCAGGGTTGTTCTGAGTAAGAATTGACTGAATGGCAGTGAGTCTGGTTTGGGTTTATGAGCTATAGCACAATATGTTTTGATTTCCAGGGGAGTCTGAGGAATTTTTTTTCTGAAAAGGGGGTGGTGGCCAACTAAGTTTGGGAAGCTATGATATAGGTCTTAGAGCTCTATATACCTCTTTAGCACATTCTAGGCAAATAGAGTGTAGGGACTGGGTATGCTTTGAGTTGCTAATGCAAGGCAGTGGTTCAAACCCACCAAGAGAAGAGGAGGCTGGCTGTTCTTGTAAAGATTTAGAGGATTGGAAACCCAAAGGAGCAGTTCTACTCTGTCCTGTAGTGTCATGACGAGTGGATTGCTTTCGATGGCAAAGAGTTTGAGGGACTTGAATAATGTTTCTTCTAAAGGTTCAAGTTGAGAGAACAAAAAGAAGTCTGGAGGGGAAAGAGCAGGGGTGAAGGGTAGTTGGGGTAAAAGTTCCCTAATGAAGATCTCCCAGGGCAGACTTTGCTTGCTACCTTCAAAGAATGAACAGGTGCCTTGTTGTGATGGAAAAAAATTCCTACAACTTTCCTGGCCTTTTTTCTCATTAATGCACTTTCTAATTTTCTGAAAACTTTTTCATAATAAGCCCCCCTTGTCATCTTGTGTCCTTAGAGAAAGTCTACAAAGATAACTCCTTGGGAATCCCCCAAATTGTCACCATAAAGCTCTGGGCCTCCCTCTCTGCTTTAAATGAAGTTTTCAGGCCTTCCTGACCTTCTTAACACACGTGACCAATCTAAGAACTATCGCTTTATGTGGCACAGCCTTCCCATAAACTTACTACGAGGCGATGTAAAGAGAGGATTTGGAAAGATGCCCACTTCAGTTTTGTTGACATTTTTCTATTAGCTCTGATATAGAAAAATAGGGGTTTTTTTGCCCATGGCTCAACACTTTGTGGTGCAGCAAATTACATGATACAGCTCTTCTGCCCATCATTAGCATAATTCCTACCCAACTACTGTGTGAGGTGGATTATACCTATAGAAATGTCAGGTGTGCATGGCCCACCAAGAGGACTGGATAACTTGCCAATAATGTAAATAAGGTACATGACACCTATGTGGGTTGGGATCATGCAAATAAGATAGAACCCTCACCTGGCGATTGGTCAGTTCTGCCATTCTGCTAAGTCCTCTCAGAAGAAAAACAGGGAGATCTTCCTACTATCAAGAAAGAAAAGCCCATAGGAGAGCACAGCCTCCGGATCCCTGTGCTGAACATCTCCCCGGGACAGAGCTGTGACACTAGACATGGCAGAGAGGTGTCAGACTGTTGGCAGCTGAGCCATAAGACCAGCCCCCCAGCTTCGGGCCAAGGCTGGGACCCTAGTAGTAATACCTTTGTACATGTCCTCGAGG